TTTCCAGATGGATATGCGGAGCAAATCCATCTGGCGGAGTCAGGTTACTTTTTATCATCTTTGTGTCTGAAATTGACCTAATTGGTGGAAAGTCGACTTCCTGATCTAAAAATGAGTAAAGGCTTCTTTGAATAAGTGTTTTTTCTCTTAATTTGAACAGTTAAATAAAATAACAATAAGATATTACGCGCTCAACATAATCTAGCAAGGAGTTTTTTTTACATTTTATTTTAAATGTAAATCCTCTTATTCCATTGGCAACATTTCTTAGAGCTAAATATTAAACAATCACATTACAAAATAGTTTATAGGACAATTTATCTGCCTGCTACATAAATCAATCTTGTGTTGTGATATGAAATTATATTGTTATTCATTCTGTTGCTTTCTTAGTTCCAAAATGGACCTTTTCTATGAAAGGCAATGGAGGCAACAGGAGGCTCGTTTCTCAAAGACTTTTGACTTTATTGTTTAGAAAAATGTTATTTTCAGCAAAAATATATATTTAAAAAAAATAATAATGATAAATGAAAATTGAATGCAACTTAAATTAAATTGAAGGTTCTCTCAATCGGATGTCAGAAGTTCAAAACGTGGTCAATAAATCATCTTATAAAACCTTGCATCATCACAATGGATATTTTACAAACAAGCCATCTCCGGTTTGTTCTTAATCCCTTAGATTAATGGCAGGATCTAAAAATTACCAAATTAAAATTTAGAAAAACCTTAAAAAAAATTATAGGTTTCGCTTTCAAACTTATTAAAGTATAATCTAACTGTCTGGAGAAAGAAATAAAGTGATGGAAATCAATATTTACAAAAATGCAACATTAATAGACACAAAATATTCATTAATTATTATATATTTATTTATAGTTTTTAAGTTATCATTGAATTAAATTTTGAATAATGGACATAAATGAATTGAATTGACATTTTCAACGTATACAATTGTACATATTTAAATACATATCACTACTTTGACTAATTTAAATTCCTTAAACTAAAACTTCAACATCAAACTAAATATCGGAAATTACTTTTACAATAAAGGTCAGATGTTTTCCATTCGTATCGATCAGTTTGGGGGGGGGGGAGGAACATCCATGATCCTGTAATTATTTTTGTTATGGGACAGAATAACCCAGGTTTAGATTAACTGTGTTTAAAAG